GCCCCGCGTAACGACGACACGAACCCGGCTGGGCCACTTCAACAGCAACTCATCTCCTTCCAATGCACCGTGCCCATCAAAGATGCCCTTCCCGTATGGCCTGCAACAGACTGTCGGGGCAAGTGCTCTCGGCGAGGAGAGCACCTCTGAAGGCCAACACGGCACACGACGGGGTGGGTGGCCAACACCACGCCCGGCCGCCTTTGTCTCCCGAGCGACGATGTTTACGACACACCCCACCGGGCACTGTACTCATTTGAGGCCGAGCCGACCTAGGGGAGGCCCAGCACCGGGTAAGACAATCGTCACTGGCGTTGACAGCGAGCGGGTATCGAACCCCGGCGCGCCGAGTTCGTAGCGCGGCTGCCGCCACCACCACCACGCACCGCTTGAGCGGCTTCCCACCGAGTGACTTGGCCTGGCCTCGCAATGGCCCCCGTGTGAAGGTCTCACTCCGCGCCTGTCGCAGTCGCGGAGTCCCCCCGCCCGAACCACAACACAACAGCCCTCCCCCCTCCCGTGCTGGGAAGGGCACAGGGGAGGCTCGCGTGCCCCCCTCCTCCCGAGCTTTGTCTCGACACTAAACAATTCGTTATCGATAATGAATCACCTCGCGCCTCTCAATTTACCTTCACTCGGCCGATGTTGACGCCGTGACGCGTGGAGGTGAGGAGGGGGGGGGCCCTGTGCTTAGCGGGGGGACGTGACGTCATCGGCGATGGGGACGTCACGCGTGCCACGTCGTCCAGAGGGTGACGTCACCCCGGAGCCACGTCGGAGACAGGCGGAGTGGCGCAAGACCACAGCTTCGGTGTTTGACATGACATTGAAAATGCTTTCGGGAAGAGTAGAAACACAAGCCTTTAGAAAGAGGCTATTTAATCATTACTACTGGAGGAATCCGATGAGCTATTTTTATTATTATTACACGCTTTCTATTAACTCACTGTCTGTTGTTGTATCCTCAAATCTTATAACTCAATTTTAACCCACTTCCCAATGTGGTATCGACTAAACTTGGTATACTTATGTCATACTGATGACAATACTATATTCTATCATTAAAAAAACATTTTAAAACATTATTTTTTATTTGTTACTAGCTGTACTACCCGGCTTCGCCCGGGACTTGGATTCACCACACCCTGCCGCCTTTGTCTCCCCAATGGCGATGTTCACACCACAACAGTTACTCGTTTGAGGCTGAGTCGACCTAGGGGAGGCCCAGGACCGGTTAAAATAATCGTCACCGGTGGTGGCCGTGAATTGAACTTGGGTCGCCGGGTTCGTAGCGCAGCGCGCTCACCACTACCACTCCCTCCACAGACACATACACAGATACACACACAGACAACGCGCTAACCACTACACTACAATGCGTTACGCTTCCACATGCGAGCGTCACGTGACAGATTTGACGTCACAGCTCACTTGCCGTGCAAAAAATGAATGCATTATTGAGCCCCCCCCCACCCAAAAAAGTATATTTTTATTATTTTTGCATGGTGTACAGTCTGGAAAGTACCCACATGGCAAATTTCAAGTTTGTTGCATGTCGGGAAGTACGCTAAATATTTTTAACAGACACACAATCACAACTTTGCCTTTTATATATATGGAGATGTTTCGGCTCGCGTCTAATTGTCCACGCTCAACTAACGTTGGCTGTAAATCACCACGGTCCCCTTACGCTGTGGCAAGCTTCGGGGCCACTTCCTGGAGTTGTGGAGTTCTTCCATTACTAGCACGGTACATTTCATTAAAGCGTGCTTTAATATTACTTATTTTTCACAGGTGTCCAGAAGGGGCGGGTAAGAACGTCACTACAACAATAAACAATACAAAAACATAGTAGTACAAGAAAGGAATTACTTTTTGGTTCTTTCGGTAAAGTCACGTAGAAAGAAAATAAATTAAATAATAGAATACGACGTTTCGATTGCAACACAAGCAATCGTCATCAGGTAGAACTAAATTTGAGAGAGAGACAAAACACAGACACGGAGACACACATACAGACACACAAGCAGAGGGAGACACACAGAGACACACACAAGCAGAGAGACAACACAGAGACACACACACAAGCAGAGAGAGATAACACAGAGACACACAGAGAGAGACACACAAGCAGAGAGAGACAACACAAAGACACACAGACACACACAAGCAGAGAGACAACACAGAGACACACACACACAAGCAGAGAGAGATAACAGAGACACACAGAGACAGACACACAAGCAGAGAGAGACAACACAGAGACACACAGACACACAAGCAGAGAGACAACACAGAGACACACACACAAACAGAGAGAGATAACACAGAGACACACACAAGCAGAGAGACAACACAGAGACAAGCAGAGAGAGACAACACAGAGACACACAGACACACTGTGTGTCTCTGTGTTGTCCCCCCCAAAAAGACACGAACTTTCACTCTCCTGAAGCCCTGTCGTGGCTAGCAGTTCTTGGACATTGGCATTTAGCCCCTGAACATATTCCCATACGCAAGAATAGAAAGAAAAAAACCTTGATACGCCAACGTTGATCAGAGAGTTATGAAATAAAGAGGCGCACTCGCAGGTTGGAAACGTGCACAAAGAATCAGGGAGAGGTGTACGTTTGGAATTATATCATGACAGTCGCACGCGGTTCAGAGAGAATAGTCAAAAATAAGAGACATCATCCCAGTAAATATGCAACGTTGGGCGAACGTTGGCATGCAGTTTTAGAACCGTTGACGCCCCAGCATTCGACGTTTACAGCATAGTAGAGGGGTATTTGACTTAAGAAAAGCAGCTGGGCGTGGGCAGGACACGTCGCGGGAGGGGATGATGGCCGGTGTAGTAGTCGAGAGGAGCGACGGACAAGCAGCCAAATCAACTGATGCTTGAACACGGGACCAACAACACAAGCGGCCCCAGCAACAAACGGCGCCGCACGAAGCCATGTACTCTTGCAGTGAAACTTCATATTCATTTAAATGTTAAGATTATTCTCCAAATCACCGGTGTGCTGAACCATTTTTTTATTTTGCCACGTTTGTTGACGTGGCACTTTTGATTAATTGGCTGTATCGGATGGAGGTTTGACGACGAACTGTTTTACACGACCAAACCCAACAACCCCACTTAATCAATACAGGGGATGAGTGTTAATATTTTGTTCTTAATAAATTGAGAAAGGTAAGAAGATGGTTAAAGAGAATATTGCATGTGATGGATGATCATGGCCGATGATAATATTACAGTGGTACTTTTAGAATGATAGTCGTGTTAAACTGATACGTTTACTCTCTTTGTTTTTCAATGGGAGAAAATTCCACTTCGACTGCACGTTGGCGTGAGCCGGCGAATGAATGAATTCAGAGCACGTGCGTGGGTGGAGGCACGCGGTCGGTAGTCAACGCTCGCGCGGCCATCTTACTTGGGGGCAGATCTCCCAATCCGTGTCTCTGGCCTCTCTAAACAAAAAGGTGCAATGAAGTGGAGCTGTTAGGGGCCGTCCATAAATGACGTCACGCACCTAGCGGGGGGGGGGGGGGTCAGACATTTGTGACGATATGTGACGAAGGTGTGGGGGGGGGTGAGAAATGTGACGTCACATCAAAATGCGCAACTTTAAATAAATATAGACAACACGTTCTACTTAATGAAATATACTTTTATAAATGTTTTCTCCTACAACATCAGAGTGCAGCGCCACATTAAATACGCACTACAATGACAACAGTTTAAAGCGATTTGAAGCGCGTTTTATTTTGGGGGAGGGGGCAGGGCTTTGGGACGTCATATTTTAGGGGGGTCTGACTTTTTGTGACGCCGTGTGACGAAGTGGGGGGGGGGGTCGAAAATCGTTCAAAATAGCGTGACGTCATTTATGGACGGCCCCTTACCCGAAACGTCTTCCATAATAGACATATACTGCACACTTCCATTCTAAGACCATGGTGTTATTGAGAAACAGCACATTAAATGAGTGTGACGTCATCTCACGTGGAAACCCTTAATGCGTTGGCAGGGATGCAGTCTATCAGAATATGTTTTACCATTATTAGCAATATAACAGGTGTTAAGATGTTGCTGTCTAAACAACTGTTTTATTGCTGGAAAGGATAAAAAAACTATTCTTATAATTTGATACTGGCAAGAAAGGTCCCATGTTGTAGGTATGCAGTCTGCCACCCCTTAGCAAGTTAAACACCGAGGCTTTCGCGACTAATAATCATCCATAACATAGGTTTTTCTTTTGGGTTAGATCGCGTAAATATGTACATGTGTCGTTGAACCCGCCACCACCCGACACAGCCAATCAGTAAGGTTTGTCACGTAAACAGAACGTGCCAATTCGTTACTAGTACAGCACACCGCTTGTGTGTTGGAGAGCCAAGCCACAACATTTACAATCTGAGTACGACGTTTCGCCAGTAATGCACGTCGATTACCATATGAATAACCCAACCGGCAGTGGATACCCATTGTAAGTTATATACATTAATCACTTTTAAGATGTTTTTCTTGTTCATGTTTTTTGTTTGTTGCGGTTGCACCCGATTCAAGATCCGAATGGCTCACAGGGCTATACAAAAATAAATGAAAACTGAACTGATATTAATCCCACCCCCCTTCGCGCGTGAAGGGCTCACAAGTGACGCCATCACATCTCTACCCCTCCATCTAAAGAACGAAACAGGAGGATTTCTACCACAAATCTGGCTGTCCGCCTGATGCCGTACTCAGATTGTAAATGTTGTGCATTTGCTCTCCAGCACACCGGCGTGGTGTACTATGTAACGAATTGGCATGTTTTGTTTCATAATATAGGGTTGTTTTTGTTAGATCGCCTATGTGTTGTTAACGTGACAAAACCTCAACGAAATTCGGCCGTCAGGTGATGGCGGCGGGTTCAATGACCCCCTCTCCTTTACCAAGATGGCCACCAACACACCCGCCGGAAGTGACGTCACGACCGCTCGCTTATTTCCCGCTGGGCGGGAGACGGCGGCGCCATCTTCCCCTTGTGCTTTGCGGCCCTTGCGCTCCAACTTCCTCCTCCTCGTTGTCCTCCTCGTGGTCCTCCTCCTCGTCGTCGTCTCTCTCTTTGCTCCGCTTTAAACGTCGCCAGAATGTCGGACGTCGACACCTCGCTGAAGAAGGAGGGGGCGGACAATGCGGACGCGACGGCCGGCGCCGCCGCCACCACCACCACCGCCTCCTCCGCCGCCGCCGCCGCGGGCCCCAAGGACGAGGCGAAAGCGAGGGACGTGAAGGAGAACGGGTGAGCAGTGCGCCCGGCCACGACGAAGGGCCCCCCCTCTGGTGTCAATGAGGGCCTCGCGTCGTGTGGCGCCACGAGGAGTGGGGGGTGGCGGCGGCGGCCCGCAGCCGTGTGGGCACCCTCGTGTCGCCGCGCGTTTGCCGCCAAATGCCTCCTCGCTCTTGTTAGTCCGGGTATGGCCACAAGACGCACACGCGTGGTGGTGGTTCTTCGTCTTCGCAAGTCGAATTACCTCGCAGCCGGCGCTCGCGTGCGCGGCTATTGCCAACAATTGCCTCTCGTCGGTTATATCTGGTTGCGAATTGACGGCGTCCGTTTCGCCAAGGTTGTGGCATTAGTTGTTTTTTTTTAAGGCGGCGCGAATTAACAGGTGGGCCAACACGAGAACGCAACAGTCTCGCAATCCAATGTACACTTATGAACCGCATGCCCCCCGTTGAAATGAGTGCGCTCATTCAACGGGGCACGGCAAAGCTGCACGAGGTCTCTAAGCACTCTCGTGGCGAGCGGAACACGATGTAAGCATTATCTCCCATGTCATTGCCACACGCGGGAATGGAGAGGAAACGCATTTGTTAACTTGCTCAGAGTGGCCACGATAACGTTCTTCGTGAATGTTCAATCTGTTTTGTTTTAATCGGGATACCGCCAATTAAACCTTCCCATAACTCATTGGGGCCGAAAGTCAAAATGTAGTATAAGACACTACACTCATCTATTTAAATATGTTTTTATTGAGCTTGGACGGGCGACCGTTCACAATGCTGTACTGTATGTGCTATAGACTTCTGCTTGGGTCGAAGTTGTGTTGCATTAGAGGACGGTGCAGCAGGATTCTTTGTTGTATTGTACCTCTATGTACGCGCACCTATTTGCTGCACCATTCATCCGCCATACGACGAGCAACGTGTAGTGAAGAAGGCCTTGTCCAACTGAATTAGTAAAATGGTTGTGTGTAAGGCGTGAGCTATTGGTTGTGAGGTTTACAGTCATTGGGAAAAGGCTTCTCAAAATTAAACCTACTTTATCCTCGGTCATCTCAGCAATTATTGAGTTGTGGAAAGCGAAGCGTCTATTTGAAACTACTACAGAGCCTTCCAGAGCGATTTTTGCTTCTAAATGTGGACAACGGGATGGTATGGTACAATATGTTGAAACTCGTTTCGCACCGTACGTAGACAACCGTGCGAATCGGGAGTTGCGGGGGAAGGACGGGAAACTAAACAACAACATCAGTTCTAAAGAAATTAGTTTTCAATTCAAATTTAAAAGTGCACAGCTCCAGTGGCTTCCAAATATCGGAAGGAAGAGCGTTCCAGAGGGCCGCAGAAGCGCACTTTGGAAAGCGCACGATGCGGTGGCGGTCCTTTGTTCGATGGTTGGCCAAAAGCCGCTGCGAGGATGACCGGAGTTTGCGTGGATGGGTCATGCTCCTTGACGAGATCGGCACGCCGCGTTCACGTCTTGTTGTAGTGATTTACGGTTCAAATCCAACGGCCGCACTGGTTATTACAGCCGGTGTATTTACCATGAAATACCGTCTGCATCCCAGCAGACGTTAAATATCACATCGTCTTCTAGCGTTAAGATCCAAATTTGATAAGTTAACAAGCATTGCCCCCGCATGCAAAAACTTGGTAGGATCCTCCTAAAAAAAACTCTTGAGACTAATGCTTTTCTCGATAAACAAAAATCATACAGCAAAATTTATGTTACGCGTGTTGAGCTTTTGACCGGTATGTAGCCGACCGCCCTAATCCGAGGTGTGAGGAGGGTAGGACGACCAACTACACACAAAAAGCAGTTCTCAAGAAGTTAGTTTTCAATCAAGATTATTTAAAAGTGGCGTAGCTCCAGTGACTACTCTCAATAGGCATCCATGGGGAATGGAGGGTGCCGATTAATCAAATATGCCGGTTCACCAAATTTTCCAAGTACATTAAACATTTCATGAAAGAAACCGAATCTGCAATTTTAACTACGGTATAAGAGAAATAAACTGTTGCAGCGGTACTCGCTCGTCGGTTGTCGAGTATTCTAAGTTTGTTGAGAAGCAGTGTAGCCGTTTAATAAGAGTACAATACACATGAGTACTGTATGTACCGACTGCCGCGAGCGCCACCATAAACGACAGATCTGTAATGAGCCGGATGGCTGTCGCAGTTTTCTGGATGAGTTAAGGGAGATTTGTTTTGCCGTCCGTGACGGTTAATACAGCATTCCAGGTGGTCAAGTGCCGGATAATAAACAGAGCTTTTGCTTTAATAAAATAAATGGATGTCATGACTCGCCGAATGTAGTTTTATTCGTAAGCAAGGCACATCAAGCAGAATGAGTTAAAACCCATACGGTGTTTGCAATGTCCATCTGGACTCGAGGTGGCGAAGAGTCTGTCGCCCAAATGTTTTTCCTTTTACATTCTACCTTAACTGCAAATGAATTGATGTAATATTATGAAGAGCATTTTTTTGATGATGCTGCATTTACGGTGGTGCACAAACACAATAACAAAATAAAAACTCAACACATTCCTCAAGACCATTGTCCTAAATTTTTTCATAAATTTGATTATAATTTGGGCAATGACCCTTTTCATGCTCTATGAAGAAGGGGCATTGCTTGAAACTTATATTCTTATGGAATTTTTTTCGAAAATTTGCATTTTTATGTTGATTCAATTTGGACAAATTTATAGTAGTTGCTAAGTGTGCTTAGCTCGAAATTGGCAGGTTGTGCATTTAAATTTCTATTTAATATTAACTCCACCATTCATCCTTACAAAGTCAATGAATGAAATAAAATGTTTTGAGAAGTGTAGGGTGGTTGTCTGATTGTTAAGTGCCTCACCATAGGAATGTAGAATTTACACCACTGGTTCACTACCGTAAACAGGTGATGAATGTTTCCCTTCACTCGTTTGTAATAGAGGAAATCAAATCCAAAAAACTAATTTCCTTTGTAAATAGTTTCCTAGATCATGTATTTTCATTGTCATGCACATGTCACCGGATCTCTGACACGTCTATGCATTTAATAGTCAAGTGGTATTCTTTTTTGGGATATTTCCTTCTCTATTGATCACCATTCTGTTTGTGCGCCACTGCCTTTGTTATCGTCAGCAGCCAGAAGTCGAAGGATGTGCAGAAGGACACGAAAAAGGATCGCGGCGGGCGTCGCGGTGGCCGCTTCGAACCGTACAACCGCATGAACCGCTTTGAGCCATTTGGCCGTGGGCCCCGTGGAGGGCGCACCATGGACCGCAGGAGCACGGGCAACCGCATCTACATCAGCAACATCCCCTACGAGATGAAGTGGCAGTCGATCAAGGACCTGATGCGCGAGAGAGGTGCGGCGGGACAGATGATGCTACTACTGCACAATCCCCCCGATGGCCCCTGACTGGAATGATGTGACCAGACGACGCACTGACATCCCCTTAGACTTCGGCAGGAAAGAGACTCCAGGAGTGGCCATTTCTGAGCTCTCTTCCCCCCAAAGTGGTGGACGCAGTTCCTTTTGAGGGCGTTGACGTGCTGTGGTTTTTGTGCCACGTTTAATGCTGCAGGGGTTTTAAAAAGACATTAGCCACCAGTTGTGCTGTGTTATTGAGCTGCAGCAGGGTTTGGATTTGGCAGTGGTTGAGGAAGTCTTGTTTGACGTTGGTGTAAGCAGCTCTGTTGCTGAGCTGCGAATAAGACCACTTGGTGTTTGTTGGCAGTGATATTGTGGTGGTGAGGTGTGTGGGGTGGGTGGGCCTGGTGGCCCCGAGGGGTGGAAGGTTGCTTTTTGCACGCTGTCATTCCGAGAAGTAACGGATGATTGCCTTTTTTTTGCCTACAGGTGGACTGCAGTTGTTGTGGTCGAGTGTTGCAGGCATTCTGCTTCCCAAAGTGGCACTTGTGACAGTTTATAATCAATGTGATGGCTACTGATAATCCCTTCTTCCCACTCGCTCATAATGGAACGTTAGCAAGGATTTCATTATTTTGTTATGTCGGGTTTTCCTGTGTGAACTTTTTCACTTAATTGGATCAGCGGCGTCACCATTGTACTTCTCCATTTGCAAAGGTTGCTTTGAGATTCTCTTTGAGGTATAAGAATCTCAAAAATGATGGGGATGGTGGGTAAAACGGCCTCTGTGGTCTTGGTGACCGCCTGAAAGTTATTGTTGATCTTGGGGCTCTGAATTTGTATTATTGTAGATTCGCTGTTTGTGAAACTAACCTGAACAGAACTGGGTTAAAAAGAAGTGGCCAATGCTGTGACTTCACATCAGCAGCGATGAGCGCCCGTGCCTTCAGTTGGTTTTTCCGCTTGAGTGGCAGGCCCTGGGCTACGGAGGTGGTTTCTCGTTTGGCTGAACAGTTGTCTCATCCCCAGGTGATTCATTATCTGCCCACTTTTTACTCGAGCTTGAGCCAAGCCTGCAGAGGGCTGTGGCTTGGTGCTGATGTGTCCGTGTGTGCTACTCTCTGGCTCTTTTCCTCCGATGGATCTGGTTTGTAGTGGGTGAGGTTACATACGTGGAGCTGTTTTTGGATGCAGAAGGAAAGTCCAGGGTAAGTGGTGGTGGCTGCTCTGGGTAATCCAGAAACCATCGCAGCTTCTTATATACTTTATTATCCCCTCTACACCTTGTTGCGTCGGTTCACTACTCTTCATTGCACCGAGTGGGAATTGTGTTCCCGTAACTCACGGGCCATTTCGTGTAAGTGCAGAGAAATCTCTGCTCAAAATTGTGAGTTTCCTTCCACAAAGTGTATTGCTCGGTGGGAAATTAGTTCATGTTTCCTCGTTACATTGTGACTTTCTCATCCTGAAGTTGGTCCTCTTGTCTGACCAGTCATCTGAGCAGAAAACATTCAGTTGGTCAACAACAGCGGGTTCAAGATATTTAGAGAAATAAGTTCTTAATTTTTTAAGTCAACGCTACACTCGGCATGAACGCCCCTGTTTCACGCGCGCTGTCGACATTTGGAATGGACTAGCGTTGGTGGCACACGTCAAAAACAAGGTGCTTTTCGTGGAAGTGGCACAACGGCGTACTGCAGGTAGGGGGCAAAGCCATGAATTGAGGCTTGGAAGAATACACCCCCCCCCTTATCAGAAACTGCTGATGGTCACAGGCTTTCTTGAGTTGAGGGGGGTTGGGTGCAATTGGCAGCTGTGATCTGCTTGTGATTGAGTACTGTCTGGTGAACTCCATGTTGGTGAAGCAGATCTCTTGAGAGCAAATTGGAATTAATGCGTTGTTTTGAATTACTCCTGTACAGTGGAACCAGCTTTATGGAGCTCTGGCTATTATCTCTCTCTCTCGTGATGGAGTAAGATCTTTGCTATCTATGGTATCGGGTGGCCTTGGTCTGCTCTTGACTATTGTCAATGCATTTTCGAAGATGCCTGCGGCTTATTACTGTCCTGCATTGCACATAAATAAGCCTCATCTCTACACAGATAGGCAACTTGCGCAGTCATTTCGTAGTGCATAGCCGTGAATGGATGACCAAGAAAGGTGGGTTTTCCTGTATCGTGAGCTGCCTTACCTCCATGTTGAATGTAGGCCTGATGACATCGTAAGCAACGTGAGTAATGAGCTGTATACATTTAATGTGCAATTTAAACACCTGTTTAAATATAAAATTAGCCCTTAAAGGGTTTCTCATCCTTGCTCCAAGTGTTTAAGCAGGTTCAACTGTACTATTTATATTTTTTATCAAAGCACAGATTTCTAATTGATCATTGTCTTCCTGATTTGATTATTAAATTGTTGAATAATTTCTATTCTTATAAAGTTGCTTTCTGATTGCATTTAACTCCTAAGAAAAGCTGTACATTTTCCTAAAAGCAAATACAAAAGTTTAAAATGAATTTGCCCTTGAAAGAGGTCATTGTGCATGTGTAATGTTCGTTGTGTTTTAGTTTTCATTGTCTGCAGCAGTCCTTGGGTGGGTGATTGCCCGTGATTCTCGCCTGTGCCGCAAGTCTTAATTTTCTCATTTGTGTCCCCCTCCTTCCTGTCCCCCCCACTATCGTTTTCCCATTTATATACCTGCCACAGGGATGCGGGTGAGTTTTATACGCACCGCACGCATTAAATGTCTTCCCCCCCACCATATAATGATATTCCAGTTATTGTCTATGCCATAAGAAAGGATTCGATTTCGCATGATTTTCCTCTTGTCTACACAGGGGTGCTACATTTTATTACGTACTCTGCTTGAATGATGTTTGTCACAGGCTAAAAAAAACAATGTAAAAATCACATTTAATATTGTGTTTCTTGGAGCCAATAATTGCTGACCAGGATTAGACCATCAGCTTGTTTCTCCTGAACATGGTTTAATCATATGTGGCTGGCCAGATTTGAACACAGGACATCAGTGGTATTACCTCGAGCACCTTGAAAGAGTCTTAGCCCCCTAAGCCACCTACACCACAAAGCAAACCTTGAATCTCCTGTCAACCCACATAGCTAGAATTTATAAGCACCATTTGTGTATAATATAGCTTGCATATATCACATCTCATGCCCTGGTCAGTCTGCCCCTATTTTTGAACGTTGGTGTTTCAAGGATTGGGAACCAGGTGCTGCGTGATGAGCACGGTAAGGATTGTTGATTGTAATGTAACACCGCATGGTAGGGAATCGGTATGTTTCTTTGTAGACTGGGCCACAGGACTCTAAAACCAAGGTGGTGAGAAGCACACGTAACAAAAAACGAATTGACTCTTGGCACTGATGTACACGGATGAACAAAAATACTTGCCACCTTCATTATTAATACTAGGTCGTGATTAAAAAATATATACATTTGGCTTACAGTATGAAGACGGGACCTTTTTTCTGAGCAGGCAACAATATGAGGTTATGAAGGGACATTTTTTAATTATGTTAGGACTATTAGACTGCATTGGTTATTTTCACGCTAGTTTAATCTTAAGATTGTCTGGGTGTGGAGAGAGTGCAAATGTAATAATGTTACAGATCATTCATCTCGCCATATTTTCGACATACCATTGTGTGACCAATTTATGAAGAAAAAAGTTATGGCTCCAGTTTACAGCCTATTTACAAACTATGGATGACATAGTAAACCACTAGTTTGTGCACCTGCAAGGGAGGAATAGCAAAACTACTGTCCTGGAGCTCTGTTATGGCTAGGAGACCTCAACATTCTTATTTAGCTACTGAACCGGCGTTTGCGCACGTGAGCACAAAGTGCCTCGACTGTCCACGCACCACGGAGCCACGGGGCTCTGTCCTGTACATTGACGTTGCTGTGGCGTTTTGCAGCATCGTGGAGTTCAAGGACGTAGACCACGTGAAGAAGGCTGTTGAGATCATGAACAAACACCTGCTTGATGGCCGCACGCTCAATGTCAAAGAGGTTGGTGTTCCTTTGGGTTGGAGGGCCTGGCCTGTGGGGTTCATAATGGGCACGGTGATGCACTTCCTATTCCAGGGGTTTGGAAGCAAGGGGGGTGGTCAGCGTGTCATGTAGATTTGTGAAACTCCAAAACCCTCACTGGGTCGCACCGTGGCTTAAGAGGTGGCAGTACAGCAAGTGAGTTCTTGAACTCTCGTATGCAGACTTTTCTTCATGTACAGGCATTAACCCCGGTTTACGTCTAGGATGCGTTTCTGAAAACCAGAACATAAATCGAAAGTACTTAAATCGAAGGATGTTTGGTGGATTGTAACGTACAAATACCTAAACGGGCTGCTTGGTAACCCATTGTGCATCTATGCTGTACAACCATCGGTATGAAAAGTAAGTGTATATTATTGATATATTAAGATATATTACCTTGTTATACTATGTATTTTTAGTTAATCGTAAACAAATTGTTTGCACTTGTACAAATAGTCCTCATCAATATGGTGTGTGGGGGAAAAATATTAATGGAGTGCGCATGAAGGGGGCTATAGCCAGTCAGGGATACTTTTGGGGGCGCCTCGGGGCATTTGGCACCTGAATGTTTGCCATGGAACGTAAAACATTGGGGCTCAATGGCTAAGTTCGTAAATCTGGAGTACATTATGGCGAGGTGCATGGTGCTTAAAATAGGATTGGGCATAAATAAGTTGTAGATTATAGCAAAAGTATGTGAATCAGGAGGGTGTAAATCTGAGTGTTACTGTACACCATTTTTCTCCTGCGTGCAAAATCAATCTTGCCCAACATGCAAATGTAGGGCACTAATTTTTTTAAACCTTGTTATTTTACATGGGGTTTTATATAATTCATTTTAAGACAATCGGGCCCTGATGTGAAGGATACAGCAATATATGCATTTTTAAGGCCCCACCTCCCTCTGTTAAACAGTTTGTGTGCCTCCTTGTCAATCGGCATGTGCGCATCTCTACAGGACCCCAACGGGGAGCTGGCTCGCAGGGCCTTTCAGAAGATGGGTGGCGGCATGGGCCCCGCCGGGAACATGGGTCCCAGGCATGACGACATGATGATGATGGGGCCACCCATGGGCAGAGGCCCCGGCGGCATGGGAGGAGGCCCCGGCGGCATGGGGGGAGGCCCCGGCGGCATGGGGGGGGGCCCCGGCGGCATGGGGGGGGGCCCCGGCGGCATGGGGGGAGGCCCCGGCGGCATGGGGGGAGGCCCCGGAGGCATGGGAGGGATAGGAGGCCCCGGAGGCATGGGCGGGATGGGCGGGATGGGTGGAATGAGTGGGATGGGCGGACCTGGCATCATGGGAGGCCCCATGCCCATGTCGGGGCCCGGCGGGGGCATGAGGGGCGGCATGGATGGGCCCGGCGGCATGGGCGGCATGGGCAGCATCTCCGGCATGGGCGGACCGCTGGGGGGCCATTCCGGCATGGGCGGGGGCGGGCCCGGCGCCGGGATGGGTACGGAGCTGCCGTCCTCGGGCAGTGGGGGCCCCGTCAACATCCCCATAAGCATGCGCAACAACCCCAACATCCCGCCCGAGCTCCTTAACGCCTTGCAGTCGGGCCGCCTCGGCACCACGGTCTTTGTGACAAACGTAAGTTGCGGGAGATGCCCCCACTCGGCTACCATAAACCCAACGAACCGCATGTGCGCTGTCTCGCGCCTGTTTATTAGGCATGTATCAATTCATTTAATGTTTCTGAGCTCTCTGGAAACAATTTCCAGCAATTTCACTCGTGTCTTGCCCAAATCCTGCAGACAAAACAGGTTTAAACTTACCTAGCTGCCCTGAGAAACTGTTATTCACAAAAAGAGATCTATGTTGGAATGGGTGGCATGAGCTCCAAATTAGAAAAAGGTACCATTTGTGGCGCACCAAATATTCACTTTACCTATTAAATTTGTCACGGCTACGTTTTTGCAGTGGAAAAATAACCCGGTGCTTTGAGAGTGGCTGTGCCCCAAGAGCTTTATAGCTCATCGGATACCTCCAGTAAATAATCTGATTCTATGCCGAGCCGGAGAAGCTCGATCGTGTTTCTAGACCCTTTGACGAATGTCCTTTTTGGAATTATTGCCAACGCTTCACCAAATATGTTTGTGCGCACTGTGTCTAGACTTGTGACCAATGCATGTACCGACCCCTCCCTTCTGCAGTTGGACTACAAGGTGGGCTGGAAGAAGATAAAGGAGGTGTTTGGCATGGCGGGGGTGGTGAAGCGCGCCGAGATCAAGGAGGACAAAGAAGGCCGCAGCCGCGGCATGGGCGTCATTATCTACGAGCAGCCCGTGGAGGCGCTGCAGGCCATCTGTATCCTCTCACAGCGTCCCTCGCGGCATGGGCACGGGGCAGGGAACAGGGCTTCATGCTCCATTGTAGGTAGTAGTGGTGGTGGCTGTCAAGATCGGCCTCTATGGAGGAGGCTTGTGAAGGATGCTACTGGGCAATTGGAGGGAGTTGCCCTCCAGCAACAACGGAGGGCAGAGGAGCGCTCGCAACGAGCGGAGCACCGCGTGGCTAAAATGCAGCAAGTTGACAGTCGGGGTGCATCTACCAGTCATCTCAGTCAGTCAACCCATGGCTCCTGGGACTGTCCTGAGACCTCCTGTTAGCGAGCCTTAAGACACTTCACATGGCCTCAAAGCGCACCTGGCCTGGCACAGGCACCGTGGTGACTTCACCCTCAGTGGTGAATGGCGGATATTGGTATTGGGTGGGGTTTCTTAACCCTCAAATGTTGACGTGTGTGTATGTTGAACTTCGCACCGTAACATTTCCTTGAGATAAACGGTCAGAACAAATGAGGTGTAACAAAAACAAGTTTTTAAATTAATTGATCCTTTAAATATAATTATTATTCGTGTGACGTTTAGGTTGCGAGTGCTAAACGGTCGCATTGAACTGCAAGCGACTATTATGAGTATTGCAGGTGATATGAAGACTGATGGCAAGATGAGGCTGTGTTGGATATTCTTAGCGCTGCTCCGTGTTTTCCTTAACCTTCTTTACCAGCGATGTTCAACGGTCAGTTGCTTTTTGAGCGGCAGATGCATGTTAAGATGGTAAGTTTTATTTAATTTTTATGAACACTTTTCAACTAAGTTTTGAAAACATTCATTCTTTAGCTGTACATCTGCAACGATACATCTTGTAAAGATGATTCGACTTGATTGCATTTTTTTGTTGAATGTTTTGTGCATCTTTGGCATTTTCCTTGTAGAAAACTGGGCAGGCTAATGCGTGATTCAAAACGGCGATTATGGGACACGCCTTTTCATATAAAGAAATGACTTCGACATGTGGACACTCGCCCCTGCCCATAACGTACTCATGGCATGTGTGATATCAACACGTGTGGCTTAAAAGGCAATATTATCGATTATTAAATATTTTAAGAGGGACAAAAGCTCGTTTGAAAGCATTACATAGCATTATACAGTCCTTGTATTATTTTCTGCTTTGTCACGTGTACTTTAACCAGCTGCGATACACAATGGCTCACGATAGGTTATAATTTTTCCTCTGTTAGGATGACCGCTCGCTGCCCAAGGACGACTTCCTCCCAGCTGACAAGCAAGCACAGCTTCCCCGTATGTACCTGTGTTAATTGGAAAAAGCCAGGTGCGCAAACACCTGGGAAATTGCGTGTGTATTTTCCGTTGTGTTTTCTTAGTTATATCTGTGGCGGTGCTGTTTGTATCATGCATGCCACACATTTCGCAGCATTGGAGCGGGTATACTGAACTGATGTGTCATTACAGCGGTCATACGAATCATTCGTCTTTGCTCTTTATGCAGAAAGCCTTGCTCACATTTTCCCTCCAAATACAACAATAAAGATATAAAACAATGCACAGACAAGTGCCTGTTTCACATGTCGAACACACCCTGGTCTATGGGCCTTTTATTTGAACCCATGTTTTCTTGCAGAAATTTGCGTGTAGATGAACTCTGGACCGTTTTCAATTTCAACAGTCTTATCAGCGCACGTGTGTGCACATGCTGTGTGTGTTCGCAGATGGGCTTGGCGGAATTGGCATGGGCCTGGGTCCCGGAGGTCAACCGATTGACGCGACTCGGATTGGCTCCATGGGAAGTGCTGGGCCTGCAGGTGAGGAACCACACTCGCGCGTACCTGTGCACACGCATACTGGTGTTATGTCTCGGTGGCTGAAACAACATTGTCAACTGTTAATAAGTAATATGTAAATGTGAAGCCCTTTTGTAAATGCACTACTGGGTGAGGAGGTCCCCCATCGCCATTCGGGTCATGTAAGTTAATTGACCATACTGTCAAGCTGGTTGGTACGGGTTGGTGAAGGCAAGGGAGCATAGATGTAGGAGTGTATACGCACAATGCATTTTGCTGCACTATCTGCTGCCCACCCTGTTGCCCTGCAGTAGCTTATAACAAAATGTTGCGCATTTTGTTCACCGATTTAAACCACTATTCGGGCCTCAACTTCGCTTGGCTTCCGATGTCTGAGAAGACCGAGCGAATTTCGTTTGATTTAGTCATAGACTGCCAATGAATTGTCCATTTTAGTAAAACGCTAAATAAATAAATATTCTATATATTTTTTTACATCCAAAATATGCTGGACTTTATAATGGTGGCCAGGAAATGGAATTTATATTTCAGTGAGTGAGTGAATGATGGAGTGTGGGGTGGGTAGATGGGCCTGACACAACACAATTGCCAGGGGAGGTCATCTATTAATTTATTGCTTTGTGGGATGATCAGCTCACCCGAACCGGAGTTGAGGACAACCACCATATGCATGTTCATCTCGGTTAATTAAATTTTGGTCCATCGTGTGTTCGGTGTCACGTTGCAACTGTTGCAATGCATCGTTTGCTTGCCTGTTTTTTTATTCGAGGAGGCCTTGACTCTAGCCCCGGGTATGGAGCCATGGACAGGATGGGCGGCCTTGGTGGGGGCTCTGGCTCTGGTGGAGGAGGCTATGGCGGCGGCCTGGGTGGCATGGGTAATGCAGGCGGCTTGGGTCAGCTTGGGGGTGAGGCATCGCACATTTGCTGACTCGCAACCACTGGCATTCCATGCAACAAACCACTTTCGCCATCATCGGCAACAGCGGCGGCACAATCTAGGCTGCTGGAGGAAGTTCTCCCCAAGCAGTAGACATCTTTCATGTTCTTTCGTTCTAACTGCTGTGCACTTTTGTCATTCAATCTCTATTATCTTGGGCATATGACCTTTGGCTGCCATTCTTTAATCAGTCGATAACCAGCCATGTATCTATATTTGCATCACTTCTTTTTGAAACGCTTTGCGTAAACATCACTTAAAATATATTATTTGGTTTCTGATACACGCTTAAGATTGTTTGAAAATTAATAATTGATTGTCGGTGGTATCCGGGTGGTGAGGGGGCAGCATGAGATGCACACAGGATTTGCCAAAACTTACGTAGAAGCTCGAACACAGCAAAACTAGTTTATGTTAATACTTGACATTCAGGATAAGAGACCCTTGAATATTAATGGGGGTTACCGTCTTGGAAAGTACCGCGAAAGCAAAAAACCCGCGACATTCAATACCTACCTATATAATGGGGGCTAGGTACAGGCAACCAAAAATAGACATTACAATTGAAATAATAACTGTAATGCATGCAAAATAAACTCCAAACTAAGTAATTGCAATAAACATTTTTGATTTAAAGATTTCGTGACTGCAGGGATTTATATTCTTGGTTCTTTCGGTAAAGTCACGTAGAAGGGAAATCATAAAAATATAAAAACAATAAAATTCTCATGACGTTCCGACTGAAACACAAGCAATCATCATCAGGTGTGAAAAACAGCAAGAAAATTTGAAAAAAGTGGCGTTTTTTTTAACGTTAGCACCACTGAGAGCGATTTGGCAGTTATTCAGATGAACGAGTCCATCTATGTTCGGAAAAGTGGAGGGGGGAGATGAAATAATGGATGCGGTCTGAAAGCCACCGTAAGCGTGAACAATCACTTAAGACCCGAAATGGTTTATCAAATCCTTCCAATGATTGCTAAGCCAGAATCCATCTTCTCGGTTGAAATTGTCTCTGTGTTTGTATATGTGGATAGCCTCATGAACTAATCTCTCATGGTAGCCAGATGGCTTGCAGAGAACCTCTGTCTTGGAGAAGTCAATGTCATGTGAGCCTACTGAATTATAACAGTGATTTGCCACGGCCGAGGTGTTGGTCCTACCGTGTTTAAGGTCTGCTTTGTGTTCACGGATGCTGTCTGAGACATGTGTTTGGTTTCTCCAATGTAACTACTACCACAGAGGCAACTTAGTTTGTAGACGCCACGGTACTGTGTGTCTGGAATCACATCTTTTACAGACGGAACCAGATCACGGATTTTATGTAATGTGTTGAATCAGACCTGGATCTTGTGTTTATTCAAAATTTTGGAGATCTTTTTTGTGATCCCCGCAATGTAGGGTAAAGTGATGGTTTTGAAAGGCTCCTCAAGAGGGTCCTGCTTCATGGTTGGAGTGATAGCTTTGCGGATTGTGTAGTCGGAGTAACCATTAGCCTTAAGAGCTTGGTGTACGTGCTTGAGTTCACTGGCTGTGTTGCTGGTCGGATATGCATTGGGCTCTATGGTGCAGAGTCTTGATGAGGGAATTCTTCTGGGATGGATGGTGGTGGGAATCCGGTTTCAGGTAAGCATCCGTATGGGTAGCTTTCCTGTAGACGGAGTGGCTCATTGAACCATCAGGTCTCTTTTATTAGGACATCCAAAAAAGGTAGCTTGCCATCTTTTTCGACTTCCATGGTAAATCTGATGGCTGGGTGTATGGAATTGATGTGGTCGAGGAAATGGTCTAGAGCAGGCCGGCCATGTGGCCAGATGACAAAAGTGTCATCCACGTACCTCTTCCATAAGGTTGGGTGCAGAGTGGCAGTCTGGATGGCATCAGTCTCAAATTTTTCCAGAAAGATGGCAAGCTACCTTTATTGGATGTCCTAATAAAAAAGAGACCTGATGGTTCAATGAGCCACTCTGTCTACAGGAAAGCTACCCATACGGATGCTTACCTGAAACTGGATTCTCACCACCATGCAACCCAGAAGAATTCCCTCATCAAAACTGTCCACCATAGAGCTCAATGCATATCCGACCAGGAACACATTGCCAGTGAACTCATGCACGTACACCAAGCTCTTAAGGCTAATGGTTACTCCGACTACACAATCTACAAAGCTATCACTCCAACCATGAAGAAGGACCTTCTTGAGGAGCCTTTCAAAACCATCACTTTACCCTACATTGCGGGGATCACAAAACAGATCTCCAAAATCTTGAATAAACACAAGATCCAGGTCCGATTCAACACATTACATAAAATCCGTGATCTGGTTCCGTCTGTAAAAGATGTCTCGGACCGCATTCGTGAACACAAAGCAGACCTAAAACACGGTAGGACCAACACCTCGGCCGTGGCAGATCACTGTTATAATTCAGTAGGCTCACATGACATTGACTTCTCCAAGACAGAGGTTCTCTGCAAGCCATCTGGCTACCATGAGAGATTCGTTCATGAGGCTATCCATATATACAAACACAGAGACAATTTCAACCGAGAAGATGGATTCTGGCTTAGCAATCATTGGAAGGATTTGATCAACCATTTCGGGTCTTAATTGATTGTTCACGCTTACGGTGGCTTTCAGACCGCATCCATTATTTTCGTCTCCCCCCTCCTCTTTTCCAAACATAGATGGACCCGTCCATCTGAATAACTGCCAAATCGCTCTCCATGGTGCTAATGTTAAAAAAACCCGCCACTTTAAAAAAAAAATATTGCTGTGGTTTTCACACCTGATGATGATTGCTTGTGTTGCAGTCGAAACGTCGTGAGAATTTTATTGTTTTATATTTTTATTATTTTATTGTTTCCCTTCTACGTGACTTTTCCGAAAGAACCAAGAATATTAAATAAACATGTAAACAATCTATGAAAAAACATTCCTCAACAATAAATAGCAGTACACATACTGAATAAATACTGTACTTAGCAACGATGATCCAAAGTGGGCGCGTGCGTTTTTCCACGAGTGGGAACGGTAGTGCTATGGTTAACGTGCTGCGCAATGAACCTGGCAACCCAAGTTCCATTCCCGCTCACGTCCAACACCAGTGACGATTATCTGAATCTGTCCTGGACCTCCCTTATGTCGTCTCGGCCTCAAATGAGCACCTGGTGCGATGTGTACATGTCGCCACTGGTGAGACATAGGCGGCCGGGCGTGGTGTTGGCCACCCACCCCCTCGTGTGCCATGCCGGCCTTCATAGGTGTTCGCAAACAGCACTTGCTCGCAACAGTCTGGTAATAGGCTATACAGGGGGCGGGGTGGGGTCTGTCTGCTTGCACTGTAAAGGTTACGGTGGTGCCACTGACTGCCTCGTGTCCCTCCCCTGCGCCGCACCACGCTACCCGCTAATGATATGTTACTTCTGGGTACAGCATACCCGAGAAATACGAAAACTAACCCGAGCGATAGCTATAATTGATAGAAGTTGCCCGCGACAGGTTGAGATCGTGAGCGATAAACCTGTGATATTCAAACATCTTCTGTACTTTCATTTCTAATGTGTAAATAACCTCGACAGCAAACAGAATCCTTCTGAGTGTCGACTACAACCCGTTGTCTCCCGCAGGAATGGGTGGCATGGATGCCTACCGGGGTGGCATGGGCAGCAACATGCCTAGCAGTTTGCCGACTGGCACAGGCCTCGGCATGGGAGGTGAGCTAAAACAATCGGTCACGGGTGTTCTTAGAGACCGCTACGCTTTGGTATAGTCTCATGTTTCCTAGCCTGGAATCATCGGTTACATTCCTTGGATGGAATACGGTTCCTCATGGGATTTGTAGAATTGTGGCATCGTGACGAGAGGGTGTGGAGGAGCTCGGCTTGATATTCAGGTACGATGGCAGGATCTGTGGGTCTCTGCTCGTCACATGGAATCAACATTAAAACACATGGCCAATGCCTTGTCAATACATTTCAATTGCGATTCTTGCAAATGTTGGTTGGCTGGTATCAACTAGCTGAAATTGGGTGTCTCTTGTCCAGGTGGAATCGACCATGATTATAGCTGGCTGCTATAGAATAAATTAACCATTGAAATGCTTAACATCGACATGGGCCATATGTTTTGGTGAAAATTCTGGTTCATACCGGTGACCTACAAATTGGTGTTTATACTGGCCAGCTGGAATCTAAGTTGATACCAGCTGGCTGGTATTGACAAGAAACTGGATTTGAACGTTTGGCTGATGCTTGGTGCACAGAATTGATTCTGCCCGTACTGGACATCTGTGAAAAGAGCTTTATAGCTCATCGGATTCCTCTAGTATAAATACATAGGCTGATTCTGGTTCGAATTCACACCAAACCCAATGTGGCATTCAAGGCAGGACGGGGGGAGGGCTTATTTTGTGGGGCCTAGTTGGTTTCGTGGAATCGCCATTGAAATGTATGGCCGATGCTTATGTAATTAATTGGAATGGCGATTTTGGTTGGGTACCACCTGGCTACTATCGGGGTCTTCCACCGAAACGACCACTGGGGACCGCCGCGACTGCCACTCGCTATACACAGGACTTACCCATTCGGACTTGCCCAAGCTACACATCGTCAAAAGCGTATTTATTTAAGTCCGATTCACAAGATAATCTTTCAAGGCAAACACCCTGTGAGATTCCCATTCATTTTGAATTGCAGGAATCGCCCGTGTGGGATTGTGGGAACCGAAACGATTGTTGTCGGCTATAAATGACAGTGATGGTATAGCATATTCAACCCCATTCCTTTTTAATGTTTTTTGTTGTGCACTTTTTCCCAGATTCATACAAGTCCAACATGGTTTTTGACAGGGACCTCGGAATGAACCGAGGCTATGGCAGTAGTGGTGGCATGGGTGAGGATGGCACTGGTGTGACGGCAACACATGTACAATTACACTTAACCGAGCTGCTGCGTAAGACTTAACATATTTAATTGTGGTACTCTGCGGGCTATTTGTGATGAATGCAGCAACATTTTAAAGCAAATGTTGAATTCAAGAGTGTGCTGCTTGTGCTTTGCGTATGTCAGAATAGAATATTTACTGTTTATGCGCATATGCCAATGCTACATTTTGCTTATTCATAAAATGAGACAGAACATAGAGACGACACAAGCAAGACAGTTGTAATGCGACAAATGGATTCTTATATCAAATTGACAATTCGTCAAGTCGTGCGGGGGTGAGGCGAATTGTTACATGCCTTAAAACGTATCTTGCCAGCGAATGTCGATGTCACATCTTGCCCCCTAAGTGGGACAAGATGTTAGTGATTGCGCAGCTCCTGTAGCTGCCCTTAGCCTTATGACCCCTGCTGCTGCTGCTGCCGCCGAGATCCTCGTCCATGCCGTCGTCATGCCCTGACTTGACTGACTCCCTTTATTTCATGGCTTCCCCAAATCTCTCGTCTCAAAAAATGCCGCGGTCTAATTTGTCGCCCGCATCTGCAAATGAGACCATGACACCTCCACGCTCCAGTCCCCCTCCACTGGCTTCCAATCCTAATGCCCGATCAATTTCAGGATGGTGCCCGCCATCGTCAAGATTCTCCATGGACTCTCCCACCTTGCCTACCTACCTCTCCCCCTCTCTTTCCCTCCATTCACGTTCTTACACCTCCCCTCCCATTGCACTCTGCTCCCATCCAGACACTGTTCCAGCAACCAAGAGCTGTTGATGCCCCACAGTCGACCGTCACTCTGTCAGAGGTGGTTCATACTCCTTTGTTGCCTCCACAGTGTGGTCCTCCCTGACTCCAGCTGTCCGTGCTGTCGAATCCCTCTGCCTCCGTTTCAGATTTCAGGCTCGAGACCTTTCCTTTTTTAATTTTCCTCTGCCTATGACTGGACCGCCTCTCTATAAAATAACCCGCACTTACTGTGTCTGTACAGTGCCATTGGATGCCATCACGTTTACACGCTCCAGAGATCCGGATGGGTGGCTGCGTGTTGTGATCGTTGTATTCCCTTTGTCTTGCGCGTCCCTCCTCCAGGCGGCGGGATGGGCGCCGTGGGCATGGGTGGCGCCGGCATGGGAGTCGGATCCATGGGTTCGGGCTCCTCAGGGATCGGTCACATGGGAGGCAACATGGTGCCAATGGGAGCGGGGATGGGTGGTACGTGTAGCCCGCTATGTCGCACCCCTCCACGCGTTGCCCAGTCTCGGTGACGTGTGGAGTTTATTTCCCCCGGGCAAAACCCTCGTGTGCTTTCGCTTCCACGAAAGGCATTCCCTTCCAACCTGCCCCAACTGGCATAGTGAAGTATGGTCAAATAACCTCCGCGGTTGATACGATGTGGTGGTAACCATCATCCGGCAGTGGATTACCAATTGGCTGTAATTTGGGTACTTTTAGTCATACGCGATGAACCTATTCATTTTCGGTGGTGTAATGATACCTGGATTCATCCATAGGATTGATTCTCAGGCTTAATATATGCATCGATTTGTGGGTGTAAATATCCATGTTTTATATGGCAATAAACTGTAGAAATACTCATTGAAGCCAAATTTTATCAGCATTTTTTTAATTGCAATCAGTATTTCATCAAAGGCATAATTTCAACCATTAAAGCACAATTTGGCTTCGCCTCGACTCATCAAGGGTGCTGTCTACAAACACCAAGGGCGCTTAGCCCTACTGTTACCAATTATATTGTGTATTCGCGGAGCACAACCTGCTCAAACTTGTTTGGGCCTGTTGGAGCAAGTCTGCCAAGATTCCCTCTCCTTACGTGACCTTGAAAAAACTTCCTCCACTTTATGCTGTCAAAGCAGGGGTTTCCAAATGCCATTCCTCACGACTCATTTTTTTTACGCCTGTCCATTAGGGGTGTAACAATGCATCAATTCACAATTAAAATTCTCCTTCACTCGTAATACGTGCATTGAATGACGCGTGTAAAAATCAGTCATTTTAGTTTCACATGTACCTTCATTATATTTACATGACCCCTGCTGATACTAACGTCACGATTTTCCACATGTTTGTATTCAATATTGAATGGTGACCTTGAATTACGCCAAATCATGGAATCACGAGGGGCTGAAATTGTTGCAAGCGTCCTTTGCATATTTGCCACTTGACTCAATTCCAATTACAAACGAAGTTTGTACACACTGCATATGTCTGGTAATTGGTCAATTTGTTCCATGTGATCCAGAGAGCACCGTCAAATTAATATCTTAATGATCTTATGTTGAATCTGTCATCTTGTCATTTGCAACAGTTAGGTGCACATATACGAGCTTTCGCCTTTGTGTCCAATTTAGATGTGTTTACCAATCATCGGGCACATGCAGCGTGTATATACGTGACTGATTCACAAGTCCACCCACCTTTCGCTGTCACCTTTTGCATATATTATTACTACTACTTTGTTTACCATTCTGCCTCATTTACAATTTCTAATAATTTCAGGGGAGTGTTAGAATGAGTGAACCAACCCTATTTGTATTTGAACGGCGAGGGGGAAGATTGGTGAACATGGAAGTGGGACATGGTGTTGGTGTGATGCCAGAAAGAAAACTCCCCAAGATAATTAACTTGCGTGCCACATATCCCACCTTATTCCCACCCCCCAATCGAACACAGGTCTAGGCATGGGCGGCATGGGCCTAGGCGGCATCGGCAGCTCCATGGATCGCCTGGGCAGCATGGGCAACGTTGGCGGTGGTGGCGGTGGCGGCCCCGGCATGGGCCACCACGGCCACGGCTTGGGCGCGGTGCTGGACATGGATCGCGGTTCCGGGGCTGGCGGTGGTGCCGGGATCTACGGCCTGCCCCGCGACAGGGATGGCTACGGAGGCGGTGCGGGCAACATGGGCGCCAGCGGGCTTGGGGGCATGCCGCTCGACCGCATGGACCGCCGCGGGTGCCAGATCTTCGTCAGGAATGTACGTTGCGCAGTAGCGGCAGCGATTGAGAACGAGCGAGCGGTGCTGGTTTAATGCTGGCTTCGGTATTTCTAATTGTATTTAGGGGCGTCGAAAACAACAAGTGGATTATAGAAACACCTACATATCTGTCCAAGCGATGAACAGTGCCGAAATGTAAGACTGCCACTCGCTCAAAATTAGGACACCGACTCCATTCCCTGAGATATGAATTCATTGTAATTATTATGCATTTAACGGTCATGTCATAAAACGGATTCTTAACCCTGATGCTTTTCGCGAGATATTAATGTATATGATGAGTAAAGTGACTGTAACCGTGTTTATCTCTCCTCCACAGCTGGCCTTTGACTTGAGTTGGCAAAAATTAAAGGAGACCTTCAGCCAGTGCGGTAAGACCCTTGTTCAAGACTTTCACATTCTCCCCAATGTCTCTTGATTTTTAACATCTCAATCTCGGTAACACAACACCAGATGCGTACATTTTTCTGATTGTGTTGTCTTGCTCTCCACTCTGTTTTTGGGTTGTACCACGTGTTCCGAAACGTCGGGGACATAATGCCGGGCGCAGCACAACCCGGAAACGTATCGGAGGGATGGGTTAATGAATGGCTCCTGTTGGCGTTACAGAGTCCCCACGAATGCAATTTGTGTGTTTGAAATTCTTCCCCCCCCCCCCCCGCCGATTCTCCACAGGCCAGGTGATGTTTGCGGACATCAAGAAGGAGAACGGGCGGTCGAAGGGCTGCGGCACGGTGCGGTTCGATTCGCCCGAGGCCGCTGAGAAGGCCTGCCACATGTTGAACGGCATTCGCATCAACGGGCGTGAAATCGACGTGCGCATCGACAAAAACGTCTGAGTCTCCCCGTCCTCCCTTTGCTCCCCGTCGCCCCATACCCTCGCACAACACCATCTCACCCATCACCATCTCACCCGTGCCTGCAACGCGACCGCTCCCCTCCCACCCCACAAAGACCTCGACGCAAGCTTATGCGTTTCCTTCAGCCAGCGGTGGTGACCTTGAATCTCCCGTACACGGCCAACTTAGTCTGCGCAGCTACTGTAGATTTTCGCCGTTTTTCGCTGCGTTGCTTAACGAAGTGTTTTCGGATCGTACCGCATGTCGCTCTGCTCGGTTTCTGGACGTTTTGCCGTCATGGAAGCGAAGGTCTCAGCACGCGAGGCGAAGCGTTGGGCATCGTGTGCCAACTGACCTCAAAACACCTCAGAAATTGATGACGTATTTGGACTAGATTTTTCTGAGACGAGAAAGTTAATTGCAGACTTTAATTTGCGTTTAAAAGAGATGTTAGTAATGCGATTCAATAGCTTATTAACCTCGCCAACAATCGTAATAAAATGTAATTTACAGTTTATTGGCGATGCATTGGAAACAGGATTGTGTTTATTTGTTAAACATTTATTTTTAAACCGTTAATGTACATTGGGGTTGTAGCTTCGATAACGTAGATTATTTTTTTTACTCTTGCCGTCGGATATATCAGGGCCCTCCCATGTAAGTCGGTGGGTGTGGTTTTTAATTGTTAATGAACAATAAATTACTCCCCCATGCAAGGACTTTTCATAATAAATCCTGCAGAAGCTACGGATTGCCGCTAATGGTGATGGGCTATACCACACAGCTTGTATTTACATCTCATTGCACAACTGCATTATAATTTTAGTGCAGCATGACAATATGCAAACTTAACACCTAACTGCTGTCCGCACCTTAGATTCTCATGGTTGGCTACGTACGGTGCAAAGGAGGTTCTACATACATACGTAATACATACATACACATACCTAACAGTTAATGCCGCAAAATATTAACATTCCTTTCCACTGCAGTGACGTGCTGTGCAATATATATGAAATAATTTGCATAATTAACTTTTCTCTGCTTGGGAATTGCCATCAAATGTGCAGGGTGTGGACACCTTAAAAGACTGATGATGAACACGAAAAAACGGTGAAGTGGAGCACTAGTAATAGGTTTTACCCTTTTAACTGGCACAAAAATTGACACCTTTATTCAAGGCATCATGTTTGCAATAACCACAACACAAGCAGTCAAAATGCAAACAAAAGAGAACTCTGACTGCTTGTATTGTGGTTATTGCAAACATGATGCCTTGAATAAAGGTGTCAGTTTTTGTGCCAGTTAAAAGGGTAAAACCTATTACTATATCTTGTTACTGGCAAAGGAGGTCTCATAATGTAAGTGGAGCACTCCCAGCATGTTTCGCTTAAAGCAGAGTCGACCCGAATGCTAATTGCATTTCTCGTGACGTCACGGGTCCTCACGGCTCTGACGTCCCAGCAGGCATCCCCAGAACTTTTGCACGCAGCTGCAGCCGAGGTGGTGGCACTTTTCAAATGAGTCGCTGGGGGGGGGGGAGCGAGAAAACAGCCTCGTGTCTGCCGCACGTTGGTCTATGTTGAAACGTAGGATGACGTGGTATGACGAAAATAACCTCCAGTGGACTTAAAGCATTCTGTTGGTCAATTCTAGCCGTTCACCTTGCCCCATTGTACGCGTTACAGCCCTTTGTCAATCCACTGCTGGCTAAAGGCCTTGCCACACCATGTGTGTCGCGGGGGATATTTTCGACCGTGCTTCAAATGTAGATGTCCTGTTTGCTGCAACCTGAATGTTACGCATGCGGTGGAAGATTCCCTCGTGAGCTTTGGTTTTAAAATCACAGCCATGGCTCCTTTCCTCCCCATTGTTAAATGACCGATCCCTCATTTGATCTAAGTTATTTTGATGGTAAGTCTGATTTGTACTGCAGGAGCTGATTTGGAAAGGATGTGGAATGTTCTGAAAAAGTAATTTTAAGTTCCCGGAGTCCAGTTTGCAATGATGTGTGAAATGTCAGTTTTAGTAATAAATTTTTTTTAAATTTCGTTCTCGTAGTGGAGTTTACATGCCACACACTTGACTAGGATCACGTTTGAATAACCAACCATCGTGTTTGGTGGCATGTTAGCATGCCTTGGGAGGCATTTCATATTTTAGAATGATGGCAAGTATTGGATACATTAAAGGTATGGGTTGATGTATGAACATGTAAATATATTTTCTTGAACAGATTCCAGAAATCTTGACTTAAAGCTTTCGTGACTGCAGGAATTCATATCATTGGGTCTTTCGTTAAAGTCACGTAGATAGGTTCAAAGAAAATAAAAAATACTAAACTAAGACGTTTCGATCGCAGCACAAGCCATTGTCATCGGGAGAAAAAATGAGACGATTGCTTGTGTTGCAATCAAAACGTAGTTTGTTATTTTTGTTATTTTCTTTGAATCTACGTGACTTTACCGAAAAACCCAAGAATATAAAGATTCCAGAAAAACAAGTCCTGTAGAGTTATCCTTTATTAGATGTGTAGTTTTCTCCAGTGAAGTTAAACTGGAGTAGCATGTGTGGTATCTGGTCAGTGAAGTTTTTAACTTTCCACGAGTGGATTTGGGCAGTCATGAAACGCAACTCATTAACGTGGCAACCCAATTACACTTTCATAACGTTACATTTTAGATTATTTGAATCAAGGTGCCAGCTGAATACATTTTCATGAAGCACATTTTGGGATAATTTGAATTCTAAAAAGTGCCATTGCATAGGACTGGCTGCTCAAATTGTCTTATGAAGTTTATCTCTGCCCCTTCTCAAGTCGCGTCCGCCATCACCTCTCGTCCCAAGGCAACCTTCCATCTCATAGCCCCTCTCATTGCAGCAGCTTTCTCTCTTAACACATGCCCTGACCTTTCAAGTCGAGCCTTCCCTAATGAAACACTCATCTTCACTAACCTGCTTTAAACCCCCATCTCTTCTCCCTAGCCCCGGGGTCGGCAACCAAAATAACGAGAATAGACTTTTGTTCTAAAGCGGTATTCGCATGCTATTTCAATGCAATGCGAATACGAAACGGTCCTTATTACATAACATCACTAAGCAGTCCTTTAAAGAGCTGCATGTGGCTACTGAGCCGCAGGTTGCCGACCCCTGGCCTAGCCCATCCACTGCTACTTCCTGTACCCCAGCTACGACCAAGCCTACCCCAATCCCCTTCAGTACCCCAACCCCTTTCACTATCTCTCACTACCCCAACCCCTTAACCACTCCCTGCCTGTTCTGTCACGGTAACTACACTACTTTTAATAACCCACTCTTTCAACCACTATCTTACGTACAATTGTATAATTGTTCTAAAGCGCCTTGGAACAAGATGCTATATAAATCGATACAGTATTTATCAGATAACAGTAACTCATGAAACTTGGGTATATTTATGAAAATGATATGTATTTATCTAGGAAACCCTTACTGAGTCTCAATAACTTTCAAGAGGTATTTTGATAAGTTTACAGTATATGGCAATGTTGCTGTGTTTTCCAGGTGTCGAATCATTTTTAAGCAAGGATGCTAAGAAAATGTTTTGCTTTAACCCACAGGTTTTAATTTTTTTGGGGAGGGTTCTTCTTGACTTTATTTGATGGTCGCGAGAGGGCAGCCGCTGTCAGAGCACAGCCCACTGACACTTTCTCAGCTGGTAGCCCTTTCACGTGGTGGGGGAGGGGTTGGGAATATTTATCACCGAGGGCCGTACGGAAAGTCCATCAACCTTTGATGGGCAACCACTCGTTAACACACCTCGGTCACATGCCACTGCGAGAAGCCCTCGCAGGGAGTGACAAGTGATTAAAAACTTGCCAGGTGTAAAAATGTGGCCCCTTTTTAGTGGGGTTACGATGCGTACGGTGTCGGGATACATGTCGTGTGTGAGCCATTTAGAAGCGGAAGGTCCACGGGTCACGGGCCGTGTGAGATGGAAGCTGTGGGTCGTGTACGTGACCCAAGGGGCCATAAGGATCGCCCACCCTTTGAATCGCCACGCCGAATGTCTATTGCAAGTGTAGTTACTTACCGGTATCACCAGATGGCGCCGAAATTCAAGATAGCCTTGACCTGTCATCGAATGTGCTTGTGAACGCGCCTCTTCGAATGGAATCGGGTGACTTGTTGAATCTTATCTACGTGTACGCCTCGGCAAGCCTCTTCCCGTCAATGCGAGATCTCACTTGGAAAGAAGCACGCACGTAAACCATGGGCAACCAACTTGGAATCTCATGCCCCACACCACTGCATCGAATCGCACGTCTGACGGTTAATTATATGCGAATGTATGCAATGCATACGTCTGTTCCTTTATACTGCAACAATAACAGGATAGAATGCGATAAAACGTGACGCATAGTAGAAGTGAGACGGTAAAGACTATCTATAAATCATGACCCAAAATCGCGACAATTTATCGCATTGCCGGGAGGATTAATTGTTTATGTAACCTAACTAGGGCTGTGAATTTCGGTTCCATGTTAAATATCAAACCTGGAACGCAGTGGAGTTAAACCTGCATCGGCCTAACAAGCCGAGCCATACATAATCGCATTACCGTACGTGGGTTTTTACTGTAATTTTAAAACATTAGTTGGTCTTTCCTCCAGATGTTATCCCGGTTTGTGCTATTTATTGCTCCTGCCATGAGAAGGCGGAACGCGTTCGGAATTCTTTCGAGAGCAGTGAAAGGCCCCCCTGCGTGAGAAAACAGCCCACGGAAGTGGACACTCACAACTACTTTCGAGGGACGCCCACACAGTAGAGTCCAGCACTTCACGTGCCCCTAACGCTGAGAGTGAATGTTCGTCACATCACAGCGACACGGACATTTTTTTTTAATTAAAGATTCTCAGAGCTGTGAATTGGACGCCCACACAGTAGAGTCCAGCACTTCACGTGCCCCTAACGCTGAGAGTGAATGTTCGTCACATCACAGCGACACGGACATTTTTTTTAAATTAAAGATTCTCAGAGCTGTGAATTGGTCAAAATAAATTCAGAAAACGAAATGTATCGTGATGCGTGGTATTTCGTGTAAGTCACTGGATGTGATAATTGAACGTTACCGAGTCGAGGTGATGGTAGTCGCAGTCGACTGAGTTACTACCCTTAACTCGGTAACTATAAATAGCCTAAACCCGAACCACCTAACCAGCCACTAGTCCTAACCCTAACCAAATAACCAACCAGTCACTAGCACTATAGTCATACACCCAACACTAACCAACCACTAGTACAAGCCTTAACCTGAACACTAGCCATGTAGCCAACCAGCCACTTGCACACTAAGTAGCCAACCAGCCACTATTATTGACCTTAACCATAATATTAAACAACTAGTCAACCAGCCACTAGTATTAGCCCTAAACCTAACTCACAAGTGCCACTATTGACATTAACCATAACTAGTCAACCAGCCAGTAGTATTAGCCCAACCCTCAACACTAACCAACTAGCCGATCAACCACTAATACGAACTAAACCCTATCGCTAGGCACTCGTGACTCGAGTCCCTTCCACTGACTCGACCCATCCCAGGCGGCGTTCTCCCGCGAGGAGTTGGCGGCTCGCGGCACCGACCCGGGCTGCACCGTCCCGGGCTGCACCGTCACGCGACTGGGCACAACGCGGAGGAGCGCGTGCCCCCCCAGTCCGGGCAAACTGACCCCCCCACCCCATCCAGCACCCCCCCCCCCCCCCCCCCCCCACCAACAGTGACAAAAGGTCCGACGGTTCAGGAGAGCAGAATAACGAAGACAAAAAACACGGATTTCGTTGACTCGCAAGAAGCATTGCTTCTACGGCAGCCGCTTTTCCAGAAGTTGGTAAGAGTTTAAAAGTTGAGTCGTTTAAAAATGTGGCTTTAAAGTCCATTGCATTGAAGAGTTTGAAGGTCGAGTTGTCTTTTTTTTAAGTCGACAGGTCGATTGGTTGAACGATCGAGGAGTCGTTTAAAACGTTGGATTTGCTTAAAAGCTTGAAGTAGAACCGTAAAAAAAAAGTTCGATAAAAGTTGAGCTAAATAGAATGTATATTCGTGTTCAAGCTGCGA